GCTCTACAATGCGATAACATGTATCTGTCCAGATCAGTATTGCATAGCTGTGTCGAATGAACGAAACCCACAATGACGGTAGATCTACAAAGTAAATACTGTAGTTAGTTAGTTCAGGCAGATCTACATCTTGAACCATGGAACTGGTGGCGTGAGAGAGAAAGCAGGAAAATATTCCATTGACATGTCAGTCAACGGCGGAGTCGTCAACGCTGTGGTCGTACATGGTATATTGCGTATGAGGTGCTTTCGTGTACATGTAGATCCCTTCGCCTCATGAGCCACATAACAGCCACGGCCTGCAGCCACCAGGCTCCGAAACACATTGACAGCTCCACTCCGCTTTGACGTGCACACTCGCAGTCATCATTTTGACTGGGTCTGTGAATGTCATGCAGACCTAGCACAGACCCGTGCGAGGCCAGGACAAGCAAGGAGGGCATGCATGACCTGGGCTAGAGCTGCGCTCGTAAGATGCAAACGTGCAAACGGTGTTGACATTTATATCTGCGTGTCTGCAAACACGTCTTGCGGTCACGTTTTCCTGTTAGAAAAATGCCTCGACCGCGACGCGCGACAGGTAATGAAACAGTGTCAAAGTACAAAGTAGGTCTACATTATGCTACCTTTCGAAGTATACTACAAACAGAAGCACGATATCATACAAACAGAAGCACGATATCATTTCATGATATAGTGCTTCTGTTTGTAGTATACGTATCTATTATTGCACGATTAAAGAGGTGTGGTAGAAAAATGACATATGGATACGAGTTAAGAGTAACTCTCCATCACTGTAACATGATACTATATACAGTCAGAAAGTGCAATAACTAGGCACAAAACTGACAGAGTACTGAAACATTCGACGTCCCGACACCTAGCTTCAACACATCTCCGTAGCGCTAACCGACAGCCTTCCAACTTGGAAGGTTCAAGGTTATGGAAAAGACCAAAGAGGGGAAGGCAAGCGCAACGAAAACGAGCAAAAGCTACAGTCCCAACGGAACAAAGAATGTCGATTGTTACTGGACGATGACGAGACCAGTACGATATTTGACAAAGCGGTCTAACTACAATTCGAAGCAGCAAAGCAGCACACCACCCAACTTGGGTGGGTCATAAATATCAAAGATAAGTAAAGAAAGGGAAGCTTTGCGAAAACGAATTGTACAAGCCGAAAGCCAAACTCCTACAGTACTCCTCATGCATGATAATGTGATGGACTAGTTGACTACAAAACAAGTTGTTTCACACGACGCACGTTTCGCCGTATGGTTCGTGACGGCTCATCAGGTGTGCAATTTGAAACTCGGATGTTGAGCCATAAATAAATGTGGTAGAGAAAAGACATATGGATACGAGTTAAGAGTAACTCTCCATCACTGTAACATGATACTATATACAGTCAGAAAGTGCAATAACTTGGCACAAAACTGACAGAGTACTGAAACATTCGACGTCCCGACACAGTTGTCACTTGTAGTATGTTTCTTTTTCTCTCTCTATCTCCTTTCCCTCTCTGACAGCATCTTTCTTTTTTTTCCCTTTTAGCTTGCCGTGGTTGGCTATCACCTGACCTCTCATGTTTATTGGCAGTCTTCGGACGGGCCAGGAGATGTTGAATAAATAAATAAATAAATAAATAAATGTTCCCCAAGTTCTTTGACTGGGAATCTAACAGTTTGGGTTCGATTCCCAACGTTTGCCTTCATATTTTTCTTCTTTCAGTTCATATTTTTTCTAAGTTGAGGAAAAAGTTCTAAGTCCTCGGGCTAAAGCAGGATTCACAGAAGCTTTTTTGCGATGCGACACGCGATGCGACAGGCGCGAAACCGGGAAAACCCCAAATCGCAGCCTTGTCGCACCCCCGGCGAATGCCGCTACTGGGCCATCGCAGGCCATCGCAGAAGTTGAGCTTGGCTCAACTCTTGCGATGCGATGCGATGCGACAAGCGATTTGGCGTACGATTTTGACCTTTTCTACAGCAAAGTTGTACAAAGGTTCAAGAGTTGCCTATAAATTTGTACAAGTTGTATCAAACCGCGCGAATATCATGGGTCTTTGTGGTCCACTTTCACGACAATAACACACACAGAAGTAGTCTCTGCTGTGAGCACGGTGGCTCGGCAATGGCTTTATTTATTGATATTATATCCTCTTCCTGATTTTTTTAAAAATAATTGGATGCATAGAGATAAGAAAAATATGCACAAGATACTGCTGCTAGTCGCACAGCAAAGCACACAGAGAACGACAAGATGTTACAATGAATGTAACAACACCCGTCCAAGCTAAAGGACCTACATCCCTGCCCCAGGACGGTATCTTGAAAAACCCCACACACTCACCACACGGTCATCATCCAGCTTCAGTTCAATCACAATACAGTAGTATTCTTCCCATGCAGATTCAATTGAACTCCCCTGGCACTAGCCATACAATCTGAAGCTGTACGTAACCATACAAAGACCCGCGACGCACACACCACCCCTAGTTTTTTTAACTAAAAAAGAAAAGCAGTCGTAACTGCCACAGCCACACAGTGGCCAATAAGATAATATCGATAAACACACACCCAGAAGTCAGGGGTGGGAGGGTGGGATACAAACTGCACCAACGAAAAGCCACTGCAAAGTGACAGGAATGCGGTCAAGCACAACATTTTGCTGAAGCAAAAAGTTGCAGGGAAATCCCAAAATCAGTGCGATTTTACATGAGCCCCAAATGTTCAAGTTACCCACAAAGACACAAGCTTTCCAACTCTCTTTGGCCGTTGGAAAGCGTACCTGACGTAGCCAAATCAGCAAGATTTTGTCGCATCGCTGACTTCTTCTGTGAATGGTATTTCGCGAGTTCGCATCGCACGCGTCCGTCGCAGATCGCGTCGCATCCCGTGTCGCATCGCAAAAATGCTTCTGTGAATCCCGCTTAAGTGGTCAATAATAAGTGGTCAATATAAGCGGTCAATATATGCTGATATTTGACCGCTTAGGGTCTGGTCATACTGCGGCAAATTTTGGTTGCCTGACGAAAAAAGAACAGCGTCCAGAATTTGAATCGCGATCACACTACACATGTGGGGAGAGTGAAAATTCAAACTTCATTTGGAGCGTCAAGTGGTTATCTCCACGAACGACGTCAAGTTCCTTCACATTGGGGATCGCCAACACCTTCAGTGCAATCCTTGCAACCATCCTTATGAGTTTTGTTTTTGTCCGTGGCCAATTAACTCCTCTATATCGAGATGAAAAAATCAGTGATTATCAGCGTCAATCGCGTATCAGCATCAAATCCTGTTTGGAGCGGAAAAGCGTGGTCCGTTCTTGCTTTTTTTTTGGAGCGTCAACTCTCGCTTTTGCCGCTCTGGCGGCAAGTTACTATGGAGATTCGGATTATAATCCTAGGATTATTTCGATTTTGCCGCAGTCTGACCAGGCCCTAAGAGATCACAAGTTTCTGTGGGGGTCAATAATAAGAGAGTGATAATATACTATTATCACTCTTCTATATCGACCTCCACTAATTCTCGTGATCCTTGACTGGTCCTATACTACCCATATCGCCGTACTATCGACCGCTTGTATCGACCGCTTATATCGACCACTTAGGCATTGTAATCTTTCGACTTTGGAGGGACTAAGAAAATTTCTCTCCACTGCAAAAAGAAAATTTGAAAGAAAGAAGACAAAGGAAGAGAACAAGCAGGATTTGAACCCACAACAGTATGAATCTCAAGCAACCCCTTATACCACCCAGCCACTGTGCTGCAGATGCGAACCCTGTTGTTCTTATAGTCTTGTACCCAAAATTGGCAACATCCTATGTACACTATAGTACAAATGCTATTCTAAAAAGGTTAAAATAGCTCCCAAAGGTATAAATTCTGGGGTTATGGCAAAGGAATCGTGATAAATAGGATATTGACCTCGACTTCGGTCTATATGGGAAATATAGGCCTCGTAAAAGACCTCGGCAGGCCTCGGTCCTTTACTCGGCCTATATTTCCCATATAGACCTCGTCTTGGTCAATATCCTATACATATCAATGGTCAAACGTGTGAGACAACCACATCCCGGAAAGCTATGACTGGTATAGTAGATCTACTGGTCTACTGACGTGCAATATTCTACCTGATCACGTCATGATATCGTGCTTCTGTCCCCAATACTAATACCAGTTATCCATGTGCTCATTCAGGAATAATGCATGCGGAAGGGCGGTTGAAGCATCATTATTGTATTCGATAATTGTTCAATATCAATGGTCAAACGTGTGAGACAACCACATCCCGGAAAGCTATGACTGGTATAGTAGATCTACTGGTCTACTGACGTGCAATATTCTACCTGATCACGTCATGATATCGTGCTTCTGTCCCCAATACTAATACCAGTTATCCATGTGCTCATTCAGGAATAATGCATGCGGAAAGGCGGTTGAAGCATCATTATTGTATTCGATAATTGTTCAATATCAATGGTCAAACGTGTGAGACAACCACATCCCGGAAAGCTATCACTGGTATAGTAGATCTACTGGTCTACTGACGTGCAATATTCTACCTGATCACGTCATGATATCGTGCTTCTGTCCCCAATACTAATACCAGTTATCCATGTGCTCATTCAGGAATAATGCATGCGGAAAGGCGGTTGAAGCATCATTATTGTATTCAATAATTGTTTAATATCAATGGTCAAACGTGTGAGACAACCACATCCCGGAAAGCTATGACAGATATAGTAGATCTACTGGTCTACTGACGTGCAATATTCTACCTGGCCCTGGGATCGCGGCGGGGGTCTACGTGTCGTGTATGTCGAAAGTTTTCTGCGCGCCTGTATACCTACCATGTGTACTGGGTATTATGGTGATATGATAGCCTCTGCTAGGCACAGTGAGATGGCGTGTGCGTATACTGCTGCCAGTGCTAGTGCCGGCACTGCTGCCGGACACGCCAAAGAGAGCCAAATCGCGCTCTACTCTAGCCTCACGTTCTCCGTTGCACCGAAGCAACATTCACAAACATTACCATCGTCCCAGTTTCTGTCTTGCCATAACCGAGATGCAATGTTTCAGCGTCACGATAAAACTGAATGCATGATGTGTTTTGTTTGTCTATTTAGTGGATAAAGGAGAAGAACATTCCTCGTTAGAGTTGTAATATTCCTCCTGCGTCTGCCCGTAGGCACTGAAGAAAACGTTTCTTTTGGTGATTGAGACGAATTCACCAGCACGGGCAACAGATAGTTGCGAGCTCCGGCCGTTTACCGCTCTGAGTACCTGAGTGATCGGATCCCCGATAATCATCCCTAACATTCTCCTCGTGGACTGTCCATTCAGCACTTAGATGGAGTATCCGAGTCGCAACCCCTATCATGGTGAGCACATTCCGTAAAAGTAGAACTACGAATCGTATCATCAGTACGAAATGCGAGAAAAAATGGCATTGGTCAAAGTTTTGATCCTTTCACTGCAATTTCAAAGACCTTTTTTTCGAACAATCCATGATTACCTGGAAAAATAAAGCCAGATGGGAAGAATCCAATGATAGAGCATTCCACACAAACTTCCGGCAATTGTTATTCGCAGTCAGTAGTTGCAAAGCAGATCATTATTACACCATACAGGGGCGTCGGAAGGTATTTTAGTGTGGTACGGTCAGCCATCTGAAGTACTAGTACAATTTACTCGTGGGAGTGTGGTTACTGAGCCAAAAATATGTGGAAATTTAAATCCCAGATCAATATCAGTGTATTTTATTGATTTACGGGGTAACTGGGTCCAAAAGTGGAACAGTCAATACCGTAGTGACCATAGTGTGTCCGACACCCCTGCCATAGCGCTTTTCGGTGGCCATAGCTAGAGTATAGTTACGTAGTAATCATGTGATCGCTGTGCTGAATAAAGGAGTCAAATGTCCCTGGTTGTTGCATGTGTTAGAGTTTTCCGTTGTCTGAGCCTTTAGCATGAAACTCAAACACAGATTTCCTTCCACCTTCTGAACACAAATATCATGCTGTCAATCATAGTCAGTTACAGTAAATTCTGCGACTCCTAACTGAGCATAGCGAAAGAGTGCAAAAAACGTATTTTTCAGTCACAAAAATATTTTCAAGTAGCTGCTCTTGTTCTGCGCAACTCCATAAAACCTGCCTTCGCGGTCTTTGCTTTCCCTGTTGTAGTTGAAGTTTGTCGTCAGTGTGATTGCTCTAGTAAACCATTGCCCTATGTAATGGGCCGTTGATCTGTGAGTGCAAAGTGATTTGTTGGAGATTGCAGCACATGCGGGTAATGGTGTTCCAAGGTGTAGTGTGCAGAGAATCTATTATGGAGATCGACCATCCTGCAGATAAATACACTTCCTGGGCTCCTTTTGTTTCTCCAGATACCACAGGTTCTTCTACTTCCTATCGTGACAGTATCCTTGCTGATAGCAGGAGTATGGATACTGCTGATAGCAGGAGTATGGCTACTGCTGATCATGTGGACAAGCATGTATCCACACCTACTGAGGAGTATGCAGCCAGACAGGAGAATTGGAGCGCTGATACTCACACGCAAGTGGAAGAATCCCAGGCCGAGAATGGACAGGGGCAATTGCACGTTCAAGCACTGAGGAAACGGCAAAATGTGCGCTCAGACCAAGCCAGCACGCAAATGGTGTTTGAAGTGTTCGAGTGGACAACCGGCACGTTGGAAATCTTGGAGCGGCTGGAGTACCCAGAGCAGTTTGAGAGGGAGCAGATTCCATTCTCACCGGAAGCACAAAAAATGCTTGATAACTGGACCAAGGGTGGAGAAGCCATTTCTGTCAAAGGGGTAAGCCGCCACCTATGAAATTTTTAGCTCTCTGATATTCCAAGTCCCAAGCCTTGATTTGTGGGTGGTGGCATTGTGGCGTTCCTACAAACGCGAAAAAACCAACAACTACATGTAGTCAAACTGATCACAGCACGAACCGTGAATTGTTTTCCTTCAAATGTTTCCAACTTTAATAGACAGCATTCAGTTGCATTCCCTGCATTGTTAGATTTTAAATGGCTGCCGCGTGACAGTGTAGGTAAATTGACAGCGCATTTTCTTTCCCTCGTCCTCTCTTTTATGCTTAGAAAGTGGCAGCCTTAGGCCATGTAACAATTGTCCTCAATTTAGCCTCCATTCCATCGCCACAGGAGTAGTTTATGATAGATGGACCCAGCTATATACGGTAGTGTGCGAGCATGAGCCACCTTCTTGTAGTAGCCATCTGAGCTATTTTCTTGTACAACTAATGTTAGTAACTTGCACGCTAGACATTCCATGCGAATCAATGAGAGCTTTCGAGAAACGGCTACAGACAATGACGTACTTTCCGTACTAGTGAGACCATCCCTGATCACTGATCCTTACCAAGGCTAAATTTGGGTCAGACTGTAGGTATGGATGTAGAACTGTACAGTAAGTGTTGTCTTACTCCTAGTATGAAAGTCTCAGTAAAACCATTTACTTCTTTCTCCTTTTCCCTTTTCCCACTTTGTATTTCAGACTGTCCACCAGGCCAACGTGAATCTTGTTCTCATGCGGGCGCAAGTCATAAGCTGTAATCCAGCTATCCGTGACCAGGTGAAAACCGAGCTGAAAAAGAGACTTGCTCTCTGGCAGGAAACTGGCCTGGAGCTGAAGAGCAACGTGTCCAAAGAGCTCATCAAGCAGCTGTTTCTCGTTCTGGACGGCAATAAGCCCGAACAGATTGTGCCACCCGACTCACAACCATTAGTGTTTGATGATACAGGCGACACTGCTTCACTCTCCAAGACAATGTCAAATGTCTTCGGAACATACCAGAGAGGCGCGCAAAAAACAGACCAGGTAGAGAGATCATTCCGAGAGGACCCTAACAAGAAGGCCAGAAAGCCAAACCTCAGGAAGAATACCCAATACTACGACTTCAAATGACCGGTTTCCATCCTACTTTAAGTAGTCCTACGAGGAAAACATGAACTCCTTGAAGAACACTGACCAATGTGCTGTGTAGCAAATAGGTAGGGACTAGGCTCTGTGCCACTGTCTTTTATTTCATGTCATGTCACGATTGCAAATAGCGCCAGTAGGTAGGTAATACGCTATGTGCCACAGCTTTGTGTTTTTGACTTGGGTTCACTAACTTTTTTTGTTTGGCATTGAACAGTTTTTGGTTTGCATTGCACTGTTTTTTGGTTGCATTTGATACAAACACCGTCTGCATCTTTGAAAACCCTCTTTGTTGGAACGTTCTCCATTTGTTAGTGTTTGTCTTCGTTTAACATGTATATTACTCAGTATGTCGTAATTGGACACTGCTCGCTTATTCTTACCTTGTGCGTTTTCACTATTTGTAACGTGGCTCCTCTGCTTCAGTTTTCGTTCTATCTCTCTGGCAGGGGCAGCCACCACCCGTCTGGTGGGTGCCAGCATCCTCCGGCAGTTGCGCTGGGACTCTACGATACATTCTTGTTCTTCGCCTAAATCTGCCTTTCTAGTTCTTTCTTTGTTTGAATTATTATTTTTTGCCTCTTGGGGCACTCGCTTTTGTGTAGATTTGACCGTTTTGCATGTCCGCGCGAGTACAGATGACATCATGCATTATTTTCTGTCACGTGTTTTGCTTTGCGCGTGTCGTTCAAGATGTTTGAACTGCGCCCGCTGGCCGATTCTCTTTGCTGTTTTCTTTGCCAGTCAAGCGTGGGGACGCTACGGTGTCGTACTCCTTGGCTGTGTGTCCGGTACGGGGCCGGGTACGTGCGTCCCCAGCTCTCCGTTCTTTGTTCTTGTTCTTCAATGGTGTTTTGAGAACATGTTTGGTAATACAGTCTTCTAATAGGGCTCGAAAGTGCTACGTCACAGCATAGCAACAATTTCAAAAATTCCAAAACTGGATCCACTTGGATCCAGTTTTTGTATGGATCCAAGCACATTTCAAGCGGTCTTACCCACAGCATGGTGATGTAGCCAGTGAAACTGACCGATTTGGCTACTGGGGGCGGGGTTACAACTCGTGGCGAAATAAAAGTCACACCTGCATGCGACATGAGTGGGTAGCATAAAAATAGCATAATTCTGCAATTTTTTCAGCAATGCGAAAAGCATAATTTCACGAAAATATTAGCATAATCCGTCAAGGCCTACTGCCATGCCATGTACATGTACATGTATGTGTGAGGGTGACCACTAAGCACTACGTTATTTTGACTACGCTGCTGTGTGTTTCTGAATTTAACATGAGCCAGAAAAAGCCCTTCTCATTGCATCATGCCAAGACGACATTACACACACAGATGCAACCTTGCATGTCTCAACACCAAAAACATACACGGTGGGCGGGGCCAGGGGTTACGCACACACACACATACACACACACGCGCATACATACACACGCATATACAGTCGGATATCCCAAGAAGTGTGGCATAGGTCGTGATCAACATGTAGAACAAAGTATTTTTAGTTTCAAGACACACTATTACTACACATTTGACTGTTCATTGAATCAGTTCTGCAGAGAAAGTACGAATTCGGGTTGTACTTGGAAGTAAGTATATGTATATGTTACAGAACTATAATAATAATAATAGAACAGTTCGCGTACAAGGCAGCAAATGCTAACCTTTCCGCTTCTGTCTCTTTGAGCTCTGGTACATGTGATGGTTGTGAAAAAAAGGAAAAGAAAAAACCCCGAGAGAAATGTAAGTATGCAGAACCACAGAACTATACCATGTAGTTATTAAACTGCAGCATGTTATTTCAACACATCATTAAAGAATCATTTTTTGGCGTCTGGATATTGCTGATCTATGGCGTCCAGGAGGCTTTTCACCCATGCCAGGCCGTTGGACATAAGGTAGTTCATTGCCAATGCTGCACCTATCGCGTGGGTAATGCCCTGGAGATCTGCCTCGCGGTATCGGCTGAGTTCATTGTCATGTGGAGAGCCCGGTCCGCGAAGTCCACAGTCGAAGCGAAACGAATACATCTGGGCCTGAACACACTTGGATGAACGACTAGTGCACTTGCATTTCAAATTTCCAAACTGGCTGATCATCATCACACCACCACAAGTGGCGCTAAACCAGTTCTTGGTAGTCAAGTCTCGTTTTCTGCATAGAGATCAGATGATAATGGATTCAACGTCAAACAGTACTCCAGACACGTTGTAAATGTAGTGCGTAGAGTGAGAACACAGGCAAAGCCTTTGGTGATACAAAGAATAATATATTATTAACCTCTTTAGCGCGACGCTACCTGAGCGCGCCCCACGACAACACCTGTAAAAGTCGCATTTTCCCATGAAAGTACTAGCTGCTCAAGGATCGATAACTTTACCTTCCCTTGGACGAATTCCACGATCTTGAGCTTCCTGGAAAGGTCTTGAGACGAGTGACAAACTGGTGTCAAACCTAGCTCGGAGCGAAACCAAAACCCCGTGCTACAGTCTGGCAAACTTCATCCACGCGCTCAAAAGACTTGAGCACGGCCAAGACTAACCAAGCTCAAATATTCAGCTGCCATTTCGGTCTCCTTGCTCGTATCGAGCTCAAATTTTTTGTGAGGACTCACGGGATCCACTACCATCATTTGAATCTTGTTTCCATGGCAGCAGGTAGCGCACAAATGATCCATGATGGAAAATACGCGTTCTGCAGACTGCGCAAAAAAATCGAGTTGAAATTTGCCGTGTCGAGTCGCATATCTCAACAACCGGTGGTCGCATCGCTTCGGCGATTGTTTCTATCGCCAGCTGAGAGTTTTCTCTTGCAGATACATGTTTCGATTGTGAGAATCGACCAAGTATTGAGTGAGTTACGATAGTTTGAACAAGTCACTATGGACTCAACACGGACCCCACGACTATGAGATGCAGGTTCACTGTACAGTGTACAGCGCGCGTCGTACTAGTACACGACTATGAGATGCAGGTTCACTGTACAGTGTACAGCGCGCGTCGTACTAGTACGACGGCCGTGGGGCATGCAACTCATGTGCGTCGTACTAGTACGACGCTCGCGCTAAAGGGGTTAATTTTATGACTTGGGGCTCCCCGGGTGCTAGTTTGTACGTGAAATGTGTGGGTTACAGTGGGGGCTGCGTCCCACCCGCCTATGTGGATTCACAGGAAGTGTGAGTTACGAAGTCTGAAGAGAATGTTGAATGGTCTCTGCCGGGATGACGACTACACCATAGCTCAGTGGTTAGAGCATCGCTGGCTACAACTCACCAGCGAGGGCCCCTGATTCCAGTCCTGGTGAGGTGGTGACAGTCAATTTTTTCTTCAGACTGTTTCCAAAAATATTTGCGTCTTTCCCTCATACCAGTGAATATGATACAAATCTCCACGCAGTCTCAATTTCCGCTGACGTCCCACTGCTTTTGAGCACATTCAACAGATTCTTTGCTCGCACAATGGTTGTGTCCTGAATAGTATACCTGAACTCAAACACTCAAAATGAGGTCTCTTTGTTGTATACATCATTTAAACTGTTCACCAAACTATCGGGCACTAATGGCCATTCGTCAATGTGAAAACAGAAACACTAATGGGAACGAAAAACGGGATTGGGTAGATCTGCAATGAGGCGCTGAAGGAAAGTGATGAGAAGAGTACGGAAACGAAAAGTGTGTACAATGTATGTGTGGAGATAGTTTTATGCTAACTGGTATTATGTCTTACCGGCTGTCAGGGCAGCCCACCGCTGGGCACCCCATATGTAGCTCGACATACTGCTCACGGGCGGCCATTCTGTGCGCGAGAAAGAACTGAAGCGGACACCATCAATTGCTTACGGAGTGTTTGATAACTGACTGACTACTGCAGACTGATCTTCAGAGACTTCTCAACGCACGGCGTTCAGTCCAGTTTGCGATCTTCAGCAGACAGGGTATGCCTTTATGTAGGAGGACAGGTTCGATATTGAAACATGATCACATCTACCGCTCGTACAACACCATGATCACAAGTACAGCTGCCAAGGCCGGTCAGACAGGGTCACATGATTCTCCCAGGTAGCACAGGGTCGGTATTGAAACATGATGACGTCTACATCTCGGAAATCATCATAATAGCCAGTACAGTAGCCAAGGCCGGTCAGGCTTACCGTAGACAGCTGAGGACATCGCATTTCCGTTTAGATCTTCTACCTATTATGTCGCATTTACATGCATAACATGTGAAGGTTTCGGCAGGCAGAATAGTACTTACACGTACATTGCATATCATTGCCAGAACTTGCCTGGCTGTCTTCCAGAACGTGCGTGCCTGGCGGCTGTCTGCCTGTCAGTGTTTTCCCTGCTTGCGTGCTGAGCGCATGGAACTACCTGCCTCGGAGAATCCTCGCATAGCAGCCATACAAGGACGGGATGCTGCAGTTCAAGAAGTTGGTCCACCATCACCTGTTGACCAGCAACTGGATGCAAGCAACCGACGCCTTGTAAACCTGCTACATGAATTTTGCTGAACCACACGCTCTCATGTACTCTATCTTTCTCAATATGCCCCCCACCCCCGCCCTCCCTTTCCGCTTCTCCTGTGTTTTCTCTTTCCTTCATACTTCCATTTATTTGGTGCGTCCAGAGCGTGACGATGTCGAGACCAGTTGGTCGACGGAGCCCCTGGCCCCCACCACCATGGCTGCTGCATGTTCCCATTACGTGCACCACATGCCGTTTAGAAAAAAAAGAAAAAAATTGTCACCAAGTGATTGTCACATTCATTGCTCTCTAAACCAGCTACATGTATTGCACATACCAATAGCGATGGTGCAACATAGCACCAAGTCCGTGACCCTCAATCACCAGTCCAGTAACGTTACGTGTATGCATGCAGAATGAATGAAAGTTAGTGGTGGTGGCGGTGGGGGTTGTGGAATTCTACTACTGCCACAACTGAAAGAGGTGATGGCGTAAAAGGATCATTATCCTTTTATTCATCAGTGAGACGAAACTAATGCCATCAGAGTAGAGTAGAGGAGGGCAAGAACAGAGGAGAACGTGGAGATTTTGTTATGTACTCTTGAGCTGGAAGAAAACGAAGAAGGAATCAAAAAGAAATCGCCTGCTGATAGCGTTATCCTACACATGTACAGCAAACGTGTTTTCTACCCTCACTACAACTACATGACTGTACATGGATGTGTTGTGGGATGTTAGGCTCGTCACTGTGAATGAGGAAACGCTTCTTATTCAGGTTGGGCAGAGAAGTTCGGTCTCCAGCGTCTACTTGGAGCGTTTCGCCCATCAGTCCCAGCAAATCCTACTCTCTTCACAGTATCGAGTGTTTTCACTTTGCAATGAAATATTCGAATGGATACGGGTATAAAGACAAATTGAACTTCCATAAAATGCATGAATCAATAGTGTTTTCTACATGTATGTGCTAACAACAATGTGAATACAGTGTGTGGACAGAGGACAATGTCAATACAGTGTGTGAACAGAGGCCAATGTGAATACAGTGTGCGGACAGAGGACAATGTGAATACAGTGTGCGGACAGAGGACAATGTGCATACAGTGTGCGGACAGAGGACAATGTGAATACAGTGTGCGGACAGAAGACAATGTGAATACAGTGTGCGGACAGAGGACAATGTGAATACAGTGTGCGGACAGAGGACAATGTGAATACAGTGTGCGGACAGAGGACAATGTGAATACAGTGTGCGGACAGAGGACAATGTGAATACAGTGTGCGGCCCGAGGACAATGTGAATACAGTGTGCGGACAGAGGACAATGTGAATACAGTGTGCGGACAGAGGACAATGTGGCTCGCTCCAATATGTCCTGTGCGGAGGTGCGTAATCATGCCGTAATGTGAGAATGGATGCGTTTATGAACATATAGATGACATGGTTAATTGGTTATGCCTGAAGAATTTCAATCATGACATACCAGTGTACAGTGATACTGGACTAAGCCAAAAAAGAGAAGAGAAAAAGCACTTACAAAAAGACATTAAGTTCTGTTTCTATGTGCTCTCTTTTTCCTTTTCTTTTCGCCTTGTTTTCGTAGGTGCACAGCATGATTGTTTGTCTCAATACACAGTTCTAGCGTTGTAATTAGTTCCTCACCCCTGTTGTACTTAGCTCTCACTTCACTTCTATTGTCTCACCTTCCCTCATTCTATTTTAGCACTTTGTTTTGTTCTCGTAACACATTATTGAATGTATATTAATCATTGATTCAGCATGGTTACTCTTCAGTCACGGCTTTCCACTGATGATTGTGACAAGAAAATCGATTTTGGTAAACCTTCATGACTTTGTGGTAGTGTGGCGATGACAGCAGAATTTGTTCTCTTTATAGCTATTATAACATTGTTGTCTCCACGTCGATTATTTACAGTATACTTGTAATTGTTGTAATTCATGTCGGTGTAATATTCACGATGAGCAAGGAGGCACCCTCCGATTTGGTCAAGCTGCTTTGAAGTCTGGTTGTTCAGGTAATACAAACGGGCTCCCCGTTGTTACTTCCAGCAGCTTCACTCTCCCTGCGACAGCGGCTATCAACCTCTCTCTCCATTGTCGACAATTATCACAGATTCAACATTCTACATTTATCAGCACTGCACTGGGTGAATATGTTTCGAGACGAATTTAGTGGATCAACAACGCTTTGCTGGAGATAAATTCTCCTCTGGAGGACCTTCAGGGTACCTGGAAGTGTATAGAAGACGGGATCGCTCACGACGTTGAGAGAACATAGAAAACAACCTCCTCTTCGATTGAAAGTTGGCCAAAAAGTGTGTGAAATGTATGTGCGCAGATGCATTTCCACTGGCAAGCTAATCCCTCATCATGTCATCAGCGCTCGCTCGGCGAAATTCAAAAGTCGTCTTCCTGCTCGACTCGATCGCTTCTGGAGACTCGTTCTTGTTCGAGGGGTCTTCTCTTTCACCTACCTTCGTCTTGGCATCGAAAACTCGGCGTCGAAAATGAAGCCGGAGTGCCCCTTTAACTGAGCAACAAGCCCTGCTATTTTACAGATCGTTAATACTACCGGACATGTTATATGGATCTAATGCCTTCTTCTCGGTTCTCTCTGCGCACCAACGGCATCAGCTTTCGGTCCTCGACAAGCGATGTATTCGCTGCGTTGCCAACCAGCCATTCCCCTCCCACACAGATCCCATCTACACCCGTCTAGGCCTCATCCCCATCATCCAAAACGCCCACTGTAAACTCCGCCTCCTCATGCTTCGTATCCACACCGCCAGAATTAGTAATCTCCTGTCCAAGCGCCTACGTCGCCAGACTGAAGGCGTCATTCGGATCAACGATCCAAATGCGTATGTTGTCCCTGCCACCAGGCGAGTCTCTGGTGACTGTCGGCCGCTCGTTTCCGCTGTTAGATTATGGAACGCCCTGCCCCAAGAGTTCAAGTCCCTCGCCTGCCACAGATTATTCAAGAGACTTTTAAAGGTTTATTTTTATGGCTAGCCAGCATCTAGGCTTGCACTTGGAGTCGTGACTCAACTGTGACTCAACTGTGCTTTCTTCTTCTTTTTTCTTCTTCTTTTTTCCCTTTCTCTTTTTCTTTTTCAGTATTTGCAATCTGTGTTGTCTATGTTTTTCTCTCTTTCGTGGAGGCTTGCTTGTTGTATCCTTGGCTCTCGGCCGTTACTTTATCGCCATCATAATATTGGGCACCATTGCCCGTTTGGTCTGCGATACAAAATAAAATTTCAACAACAACAACTGCATGCTACGGATATTGCTCTAAATTGATGTACAGTTGATGTTCGGTCATGATGGAAGGAGAAGTGGAGCTACGGGAGAGATGAGCTGATTATTCGCAGGGTGAGGCCCAGGGTGACATCGGGTGGCCGAGCATGATGATTACGAAGACAGTTGAACATGATAATTTTCAAAGGTAACTTCTAACTAATTTGGCAATGAAATAATATTTTTACTGAAGTACAAAAGAAATCAAGTTATGAATAGAAGAAGAATGGTTTCTCTTTTCCATGTTGACCTCTTAGGCTCTTACAAGTACATTCATGGACACCTTGGTATGGGGATACTCATGTATATGTATTTTGTTGTTACCGGCTTAGCGTGCACGAGCAGTAACAGTGACTGGAATATTGACTTGAAGTTGAACTTGCTGCTGTTTACCTCCTAAGTAGGTATATACATTATTATGCTGTTTTTGTTTTTTTGAAACTCGGCTGTTGAGCCATAAATAAATGTAGAAGAGAAAAGGACATATGGATACGAGTTAAGAGTAACTCTCCATCACTGTAACATGATACTATATACAGTCAGAAAGTGCAATAACTAGGCACAAAACTGACAGATTACTGATATATGTGTCAGTACTCTCAGTACTCTGTCAGTTTTGTGCCTAGTTATTGCACTTTCTGACTGTATAGTATCATGTTACAGTGATGGAGAGTTACTCTTAACTCGTATCCATATGTCCCTTTCTCTTCTACATTTTGTTTTTTGCGTGTTTTTTCCTTCTTTTTTCTTTCTAGAACTTTGAGTTGAAGTTTTTGAAACACTTGGGAAAAATATTCATTGTGTTTATTTTGCCCGTAAAAGAGGCTGAGCATTTTGTTGTACATGTACCGGTACTTATGGCCACTTGCAACTTGCAAGTACGAAAAAAGGCACAATTTCCAGAACTTTGAGGCTCTATTAGTACAACAACGTGAATGTATATCCCCGGGTGCTAGAGCATAATATGAGGATTTTACAAGCATAATGCGAGAATCCATGAAAGCATAATTCCTTGATTTCGCGAGCATAATCCGCCGGAGCCTACAGGTACGTCCACATGCGGTCAGTGGCTTTGTGTCGAAAGTCGCCCGCTCAGCAGCGCACGCACAGCGGTGTTCAGGGTCGGCAATGATTGAAAATAAGCAGCCAGTTTGGTCGTAGATCTAGTAGCTCTACAATGTGATAACATGTATGGATGTGTCTGTCCAGGTCAGTATTGCATAGCTGTGTCGAATGAACCAAACCTGCCATGACGGTAGATCTACAAAGTAAATAGTTAGTTAGTTCAGGCAGGTCTACACCTTGAATCATGGTACTGGACCTACTGGTGGCGTGAGAGAGAAAGCAGGAAAATATTCCATTGACATGTCAGTCAACGGCGCGCTGTGGTCGTACATGGTATATTGCGTATGAGG